TGGCAGAGGTAACAGGATAATGCACCCTGCCACACTACAGAAAATTCTACAGGTTTTGTTTGAGGAACAGGAACAATTCAAGGTGTTGCCTTGGCCTTCAAATTCTCTAAATCAGAATCCAGCTGAGCATCTTTGGGATGTGTTGGAACAACAAATCTGATCCATGGAGGCCCCACATCACAACTTAAAGCAGGACTTAAAGATCTGTTGCTTATATCTAGGTGCAAGATACCAAAAGACACATTCAGAGGTCTTGTGGAGTCCTACAGAGCTGTTTTAGCAGAATGGGGGGGGGTTTCTACACACTATTAGGCAGGTGGTTTTAATGTTGTTACTGATCCATGTAGATTTAGAGAAAAAATATGTGTCTCTCAATTTCCCGGCAGACACTCAATGCCAAGGAATTGAGAGACAGAGAGAGCAGAAGAAACGTCTTACATGAGGTCCCTCCGCTTTCTACCCATAGTAACCACAGTGCAAGCGTGGAATTGTCCCCAAGCAAAGCAAATCAGTGACAATTACAAATGTGGTCTTACTAGAGGTCTTACCTATATGTTATATTCGATATGGAACATTAGTTTTTGGACCATCAACTGCCGATATACTGTGACCCACAGGATAAATTACAATATCTCCTTTGTAGTTTATTCATTGATGTTCAGGTTCCTGTGGGCTACAGTATGTAGGACAAACACAAGGTCCCTTAACTCTAGGTTTAGAGAACACCGTTCTCAGCCATCATGCGTAAAAATAGGAAATATTCAGTGGAACGTCATTTTGTTTTGGTACATAACTATGATCCCTCTTCTATTTCAGTCATTGTAATTAAGTGGATCCCTCCCAAATGGGATACAGCACACATAATACAATATCTAATTACTGCAAAATCTAACTGGATCTTGAAATTGAATACACTAAGTCCCTAAGGCCTTAATGAAGAGATCGATCTGACATATATTTAATCTTTTTTAAGTTAGTGTTTATTTTGTGCTAAACTGACATGGTACTCACTAATCAATTACTTTTTTTGCTTTTAACATTTTTTTAAATAAAGTTTGTCTTATATGTGTATATACAAAAGAGTATCTTGATAACGTTTTGCCAGAGATGAAATGCCTAGACATTGGGTGCATTGAGTACATTCTTTGAATCTTGAACGACTACATGGCCTGGAGAGTTTAGTGTCAAGGACCAAAATATTACACACGGACACTGTTGTCATATTCTCTTGTCTAGAATTTGGTGAATAACATGCTGGAATATTTTTCTTTATTATACGGTGGGGTCCTCTGTTTTTCATAGGTATCGACTCACTGGGAATTATATACATGTTTTAGTTAGGTCTGTCACACTCAGAGTGGGAACTCTGTCTCCCATCCACCTGAGCCACCACTGGACCCCAGGGAAAGTCACCTTCCTGCACCTTAAAGGTAGGAAACAGGAGGGTGACAAACATTTTGTGTGTGTGTGTGTGTGTGTGTGTGTCTGTCTGTCTGTCTATCTATATGTATGTGTGTCTGTCTGCTGGTTTGTATGTATGTGTGTGTGTGCCTGTCTGTGTCTGTGTGTCTGCCTGTATGTGTGTGTGCTTGTCTGTTTGTATGTATGTATGTGTGTCTTGTGTGTGTGTCTGTCTGTATGTTTGTATGTGTGTGTCTGTCTGTCTCTGCCTGTGTGTATGTGTGCCTGTCTATTTTTTTATGTATGTGTCTTTGTATGTATATGTGTCTTGTGTGTATGTGTGTATGTGTGTGCTTGTCTGTTTGTATGTATGTATGTGCGTCTTGTGTGTGTGTGCCTGTCTGTATGTCTGTCTGTGTGTGTGTCTGTCTGTATGTGTGCCTGTCTGTTTTTTATGTATGTGTCTTTGTATGGATGTGTGTCTTGTGTGTGTATGTCTGTCTGTATGTGTGTGTTCTGTGTGTGTGCCTGTCTGTCTGTATGTGTGCCTGTCTGTTTGTATGTATGTGTCTGTGTGCCTGTCTGTGTGTCGGTCTGTATGTATGTCTGTGTGTGTCTGTCTGAATGTATATATGTGTGCCTGTCTGTTTCTATGTATGTGTCTGTGTTTATGTGTGTGTCTTATATATGTGTGTGTGTGTGTGTGTCAGAGGGAAATGGGGGGGGGAACGGATCATTTTTACACCAAGGCCCCATGGTTTGTGTGTACGCCACTGATCATGATCACATTTTTTTTTATTCTTTATTTTATTTGTACATGTTGTACATCAGAGGCAGAAAAAGACGCCAGAAAGTCAAAAATAATATTCATAAAACAGGTAGGTGTCTTAGTAAACTCCACTTTTTTGGGGTATATCTTTCAAGTGATAGATCTTAGAAGTCAATTGGTGTAACATAAACAAGGACATTAAAGAACACAGAATTTTTTTTTATATTGATGTGAAGCTTTGTGTGAATTTGTCACTGTACTCTCTCATGTTATTCGACTCAAAACATAATAAAATGAAAGTTTAAAAAAAAGGCATAATAAAATGAAAGTTTAAAAAAAAGAAGAATAACTCTGTGATCCTTAATGTCCTTGTTTAGTGAATAAACCCCACCTTGTTTAGTTGCCCCTGCCATCATGTTTTCTGATTCCTGTCCATGGTGCTGTTATTGGTGAGCCAATGAGCAAGGGTATGCTCCCCCCACCACACTTTGCACACCTCCTGTTGTTATATTAACCTTTCTGTAAGACAGACACTGATATCCCTTTCCTTTAGCAGAGCTGCAGGGATCATATTAACTTGAAGTGATGGATTATCACAAAATTAACTGCTTTCTTAATGACCACAGGGACAGTATTTAAAATCGAAATATTCCTTTTCTATGCCACACAAGCTGATTAAACATCACATGCTGATCAGAAAGCAGAAGCTAGCACAAATCTCTTATTCACGTAAAACGGAAGAACTCATTATTTTGTGTGAAAAATTACATTTCCGTTTAGACAGATTTTCAACATCTTGATTTAAAGATTATGTAGTTAGTATTTCTATGGCACCAACATATTCTGTAGCGCATTACAATTAGAGAAAGGGATGAGGAAGGCCCTGCTCAAGCTTTCATTCTATGAGGATTTAAGGTATTAACCCTTAAAGGACCACTATAGGCACCCAGACCACTTCAGCTTAATGAAGTGGTCTGGGTGCCTGGTCCATCTAGGGTTAACCCTTTTTTCCATAAACATAGCAGTTTCAAAGAAACTGCTATGTTTATGTTAGGGTTAATCCAGCCTCTAGTGACTGTCTCATTGACAGCCGCTAGAGGGCTTCCGCATTTCTCATTGTGAAAATCACAGTGAGAAGACGCCAGCATCCATAGGAAAGCATTGTGAATGCTTTCCTATGGACTGGCTGAATGCGCACGCTGCTTCTGCCACGCATGCGCATTCAGGAGAGGAGGAGAGCTCCCCGCCCGGCGCTGGAGGAAGAGGTAAGTTTAACCCCTTCCTCTCCATCCAGCCCGGCGGGAGTGGGACCCTGAGGGTGGGGGCACCCGTGGGGCACTATAGTAACGAGTATGTTTTCCTGGCCTTATAGTGGTCCTTTAAGCACACGAGTTCTGGAATAAAAGGGAATCATGACAGAATATTTCCGTCATGTGTCCTTAAGTGGTTAAGTGGTTTTTGCCTAAAAACACTTACTGGTGAAGCGGTGTGGCCAGGAATTGTTTTTTGGATATTTTTTTCTTTTAGACGTGCAAAGATACTTCAGGAATATATGTAACACATTCCACAGATATGTAATAATGATAAGCTGCCTTTTTTTTTTTTATATATCGGTAAAGGACGACATAACCACAGTTCTATCGGAATAAACAAGATGAGAAGCTGGGCAATATAGAACTGATGAGACTAGCCAGAGATTAGTACCACTGGAAGGTTGAAATTGAATTACAGCTTTCTGTTAATATGAACAAAATAATAAGCTAATGCAAAATAATCATATATGAATAATGCATGAAGAAATCAAATATTAAAGCAGCCTTGCTTTAGATTAGGTATATGGCCACCTCAGCCAAAGCCTTTTAAGGGAGAAATACTGCCAATGAAAACAGGGCCAGTGCAAGGAGTTTTGGCTACACAGGCAAAGATGCATTTTGCTGCCCCTCCTCCCACTTCTTAAAAAAAATGTGACTTCACCGGTGTGTCTTATAACCCCTCTTTTGATTTCCTTTCCCTCTTTAGTGTATTTTACCCCCCCTTTAGTATGTCTTACACTCTCTTGTGTGCCTCTTATAACCCCCTTTTGTATCTCTTTCTTTCTCCAGTGTCTCAACCCCCCCATTATTTTTGTGTGTTTCTTTCCCCCCCACCCCTTTCTGTGGCTCTCTTCCCTCAGCGCGTTTTGTGTCTTTTTCCATGCGATATAGACATAGATATATAGCAACAAACAAATACAGGGCACACAGCCATACAATCTACACATACAGGTACAATGTCATACAAACACAGACATACAGACACACAAAGACATTCAGGTGCTGTCATACAGACACAGGCATACAAAGACATATATACACAGGCTTATAGTGATACAGATACAGGCATACAGAGCAGTGGCGGATCCAGAGCCTAATCTCTGGAATAGCACAGGTAGTGGGTTGTAGTTGCTGTAATTGAAAAGTTAGGGCATGTAGTAGGGTGGTAGAGGCTGTAGTGGGGGTACAGAAGCTGTAGTGGAGGGTATGGGCTGTAATTGGGGTATTAGGTAATGTTGTGGGGGGGTAGGGGCTAAAGTAGAGTGATGGCTACAATTTGGGAAAGGGGCTATGGTGTGGGTAATATAGGTTGCAATTTGGAGAGAGTAGCTGTAGTGGGGATGTTATGGGGGTGTGGTGGGGGGACATGGGGGTGAGGAGGGAGACGGGCTGAGAGAGGGGGACAGGAGCTGAGAGGTGGGACAGGAGCTGAGAGAGGGGAACAGAGGCTGAGGAAGGGGGGCAGGGGCTGAAGAATGAGGACAGGGGCTAAAGAATGGGGACAGGGGCTGAGAAAATGGGGCAGGGGCTAAGGAAGGGGGGCAGCGGCTGAGCAAGGGGGGCAGGGGCTGAGCCGCTGCCCCCCTTCCTTAGCCCCTGCCCCATTCTTTAGCAGGGGCCGAGCCAGTGGGACAGGGGCCGAGCAAGTGGGACAAGGGCCGAGCAAGTGGGACAGGGTCTGAGGAGTGGCACAGGGGATGGGGAAGGGGGACAGGGCTGGGGAAGGGCGACAGGGCTGAGGAAGGGGACAGGGGCTGAGGAAGGAGGGCAGGGGGAGGGACACAGGGGCTGAGCAAGGGGGCAGGGGCTGAGGAAAGGGGGCATGGGCTGAGTAGGGAACAGGGGCTGAGGAAAGGGAGAGGGGGCTGAGTAGGGGAACAGGGACTGAGTAGGGGAACAGGGGTTGAGGAAAGGGGCTGAGGAAGGTTGGAAGGGGCTAAGAAAGGGGGCAGGGGCTGAGGAAGAGGGAATGG